CACACACACACACACACACACACACACACACACACACACACACACGAATTTACCGAGCAGTCATTGTGGGCTAGTAGAAACATCATTGAATTTAAAATCTGGAGTCCTGGATTCATTTCCTACCTGTGTCCACTAACTTGTTGTACGACTTTGGGCACGTCACTTTGACTTCAGTTTCCTCCACTGGTAAATGAGAGAATTGAACTAGATGGCCCCTTAAGTCCCTTCCATTTCTAAATCTAAGATCCTGTGATCTTATGAAGAGATTGCCTTTATGGTCCATTTTGACTCTAATATTTTAGGAATCTATATAAGCATTTCAGTGTTCCAGGATCTTTGAGGGTTGTGGGGGTGGTGGTGATGGTAGTGGTTTTGTTTGTAGGTGTGTATTTTTTTTTTTAAATAAAATGTCACCAATGTACTTCATTCTAACCCATACATAATGTTTACATTAAATTGAGTGAAGATCTCCTTGGAGATCATTGAATCATAGAGCAATAGAATATTTGAGCTAAAAGAACCCTTAGGGACCATCTGGTGTAACCCCTTAACTTTACATAAGGAGAAACTGAGGCCTAGAGGGGGGAGGAACTTGCCCCATGTCACATAGGCAATTGGTGGCAGAGTTAGGGCTCAAACCCATTCTCCTGACTTCCACTTCAGGGCTGTTTCTTTTCTGGCCTAATAAAATGCAAATATTTCCTCTTCTGCCTCCCTCCAGGCTGGGAGAAGACTAGCAATCTCAGTTGTGGGTCTCCAGATTTTTGTAAGACCTGTGTTATAAGTCTTTATTCTGACTCACTGTGACCCGGGGCAAAGTCATCTGGCTTCATCTACTAGGTTGAGAATTTGGGGGCGTTACCGCTGTAAGCAGCACCAGTCTTTCAAACAACAAATCAAAGGTAGTCTTTTTTAATCATCTGGTGGACAAGGACCATTGGTCTCATAACGGTTTGTCCATCCAGACGCAGATATCCATATTCAATCTCATGTCAGAAGCATCATTTTTGAAGATGGACAATGGCATTATTATTACACAGTTGCATATATATTCATATATATGCATAAAAGACCAAAGACCAAAGAAAGCAGCTTTTTTCCTGAACCCTCCCAAAAGAATTATAGCCCTACATGGCAAACATCTGATATAATACATAGATATATGATTCCAAGCTCAATAAGCATTGAAATTAGGAGAGTAGAGGAGTAAACACCCAGCCATAGCTGTCCTCCTAATCCCCCAAATAGGGAGAACTCTAGTCTCCCCAAAACAGTGAGGAGGACATTGCAGATCTACCTAGAAATATCAGTTACATGCAGGCCTCCCAGTACTTGGTTACGTGGTGGGGAAGGGAAGGGAAAAGGCATTTATTAAGCACCTACTATGTGCCAGGCACTGTGCTAAAGTGCTTTACAAATATGTCATTTGATGAGATATTATACCATTTACATGGTACTTTGTCGATAGATAGATAGGCTCGCTTTACATAGTTCCTATTATTAACATAGTGTGTATACATATACATACCCCCTACTGATACTTTGGCATACTCAGGACAAAACCTTAGGTTTTCAAAGGCGCAAGGGCCTAGCAAGCTAAAAAATCCTCAATGATTGGGCCAGCAACAGAATGTCATGTGAGACCCAACCCAGCTAAACACAGAGGGGCTTATTTCTGGAAGGTTGGACACCAATTTTTTCAGCCTCAACTATTGACAAAGAAAATGTACTCAAGGGTGGTGGGGTTAGGATCTCCATTACCGGAAGGAATGCCAATAATGTTTGTTGTTTTTTAGTTGTTTTCAAATGTATCCAACTCTTTGTGACCCATTTATTGTGGAGGGGGATGGGGGTTTCTTGGCAAAGATCCTGGAGTGGTTTACCATTTCCTTCTGCAGTTCATTATACAGATGAGGAAACTGAGGCAAACAGGGTGAAGTGACTTACCCAGGGTCACACAGCTATTAAGTGTCTGAGGCCACATTTGAATTCAAGTCTTCCTGACTCCAGGCCCAGCAGGCTATCCACTGCAGTGCCACCTAGCTTCCTAGTGACAATAATAGCTGATATGTATATGAGGTTTTAAGTTTTACAAAGTTCTTCATACACCTTATCTCTTTTAATCCCCACAGTAACCCTGAGAGGACAGTACCATTTCTATCCTCTTTTTTTCTACATGTTAAAACTGTGACTGAGACATTAAATGACTTGCCAGAGGTCATATAGGTCATCTAAGGCAGAATTTGAACACAGGGCTTCTTGACTTCCTAGGTCCAAACTTCACAGACCAATACCATCAATAATCTTTGACTTCTTATTTTTCTCATAAAACTCTAACAATATAGAGAGAGGGTTGGCTATAGTCTGTACCGTCTTTGGGTAATTTAATATTCTTCCTATTGTTCATTTTTCACATAGAGAACTGTGTTCTTTTAATAACTGAATATTTCATTTGTAAAAGGAACAGAAACATTCTTACTCAATCAAGGAAAAAAAAACACTTCGTGAGTTCTTCTTTCCTTCCATCCAGGGCTTGTGGACATTGGGGAAACATCGCAGTGTCCTGGAAATCTGGCTCCGGAGAAGCTGGTGGACCTGGAAAACAAAGCCGTGCTGACCAACTTGAAACAAAAGTACCTGACAAGTCTTTCAAACCCGAGATGGCTGTTAAAACCAATACTTGCTAAAGGCGGAAAGGATATATTTCAAGTTGAGATCCCCAAAGAACTGATCCCTTTGGAGCAGGGAAATTTTATCATGGCTTCCCAAAAATAAAATTGCAGAGAACTGAGCCAAACATCTTTAATGGATATGGTTCCCATATGAGCCAAACTGTAAATTCTTTTTATTGTATTAATTGTGCTAGGTGTCCTGTAGAGGAAAAAAAAAACAACTCATCATTTCTCAAAACCAGATCAGTGGGAATTGTGATTTTCAAGCTAAAGCATCCGTGACGTATGTATCTTTTTCACCTATTGACAATGTTTCAGATCATTAGGTCTAATAAAGACAATGACATCGGCCAATAAATGTCATCATGTTGCTATTTTTATCCCATTTCAGTTCTGTTCATTTCAAGACGGTAATAAGGCATTTTTAAAAGAAGTTTTTGTTCAGTTGGGCTTGGTTTTATGTGCTTTCCTATGTTAATTCTAGTAAAAATGGCATTATATGTCTTACCCGAGGCTATTGCTCAAATCAGGCTCTCAGTCAAAACAGATATTGACTGGGAAAGCATTATTCAAGATCTAAACAATGCCAAGATTTAAACTAATTTTAGAAAAAATGGTATTGATCCCTCTTTCTTTTGATATCATAGATGTTTCCTAATATAGCCTTCCTTCCCACTTCTCCCTCCCCTCCCCCCCCCCATCCCATGGAATCCTTATCATAAAGAAAAGTAACTGACATAGCAGCAGTCTGGTAGGGAAAGGAGAGAGGCCTTCGACTAATCCATCTGTGTACCATCAACATGTTCAAAAATAACTTTTATCCTATCAAAAAAATTTCCCTCCCCCCTCACCCCAGACATTCTTCAGTTGGTAAAAATTACCATCCTCTGACTTTCCCCCTTTTTCCAAACTTTAGGATACAGGGATCTATAATAGCATACTCTCTCACTGTCCACGTAGTTCTTACCTCCCTTATAATCTGGTTTCCATCCCCCACTTTATCAATCCTATTTTCCCTAAGATCACCAATTACCAGAGTTTGAAAATCCTTGGCTAAGTGGCTTTAAAAATAAAAATTTTCTGGATACCTTTTGTTTTCACATCGCAGTTATTGCCAGATAGATATACCTCTCCTCCGAGGCCTTGTCATAACCCTACCACCCAGTCAGCCTTCCCTTGGAAAAGAAGAAAAACAATTAGAAAATCAATCAATGTAGGATATTTCTTGTCAGCATGTGCAGAAATCTGCACCTGTAGTGGGCTTCCATCTCTCTAAGAAAAAGAGAGAGGGACAGTTAATGGCCTTTTAAAAGTCTTTATCCTTCTGGTTTCCTGATTCTCCTTCCACCTCTCATGTATTCTTTTTTCTCTTGCCCCCTGAATGTGGATATCCCAGAGCCTACTGTCCTCAGCCCTCCTCTCTACAATCTCTCTTGGAGCTTTTTAATCTGTTCCTATGGCTTCAAGTAGCACCTGTTTCACTAATCCTTCCTATATCCACCCCCCCAAACCCTACTTCATCCCTCCCAGCCAGGTGTGGTGTTACGCTCCCTAGGACCCCAATCCCTAGCACTTAATACCTCTCTTTAAGTGGGTAATGTGAGCAGCTAGGTGGCACAGTGAATGGAGGACAGGAAGATCTGAGTTTAAATCCTGTTTTAGACACACTCCTCTGTGACCCAGGGTAACCTCAGTTTCCTCCCTGGTAAAGGGATAATAATAACACCCATCACCCAGAGTTATAGTGAGGATCAAATGAGGACCTTTTTGAAAAGCAGGATATAGATGCTAGCTGCCATTTATGCTTTGTATTAAGGTTGTGTTTACATACTTGTACTCTCCCCCCTGATCATTTTCATCTTCGGACCCCCTGCAGTGCCAAGCACACAGTGTTATACAGACTAGGCTCGATAGATAACATGCTGAATGAATGGACAAAATCCCTTTACATGTCAAATCCAAACTAAGGAACCCTAAGACAAATCTTTTCCTCGATTCAATGTTTTATTTTAGGAGTAAACACCTTTGAAAAGAACACTCCCACATTCATCCTGACAGGCTGATAAAGTGTAAGGTGTTGAGAAAAAAAAGAGAGAAAACTCTGGTTTGATTTTTTGAATGGTTTAATTTGTATGGATTGTTTATAAAGACAAAACCAGAATCATTGTATTCATTACAAAATTGTAATCGTTTTAGTCAGAAGAACTCTGTGTACTCTGGGATGTTACTGACTTTCCTGATGGCTCGCCATTGTAGCAATTGCAAACGGGGCAAGGCTGGGCTGAGGAAGAACCTGCTGCTCGGTGGGCGTTTCTGAGAAGGGGACAGTTGAAGCTGCAGATAGCAAACCATGAGACACATAAAGACATTAAAGTCGTGATTTGAGCATTTAGAGATGTAAAGTCAGGGTAGAGTGAAGGTGTCGACAGCCCCACAGTGGGAGGGTCAGTTGGCATAGGTGGTTCTTGGGGTATAAAAGAATTTAACCCAATGTTGTTTTGGACTTCCCCGGGTGAACTTGGGGTAGGTTTTGTCTGGAATGGCCAGTGTAATTCTCTAAAGGCCGTGTTGGGGGAGCATAGTAATCATTGCTCCTCTTTTTCTGGGGATGCTGAGATTTCTTCAGCACCTTCTTTTTTCCCTTCTTGGATATGACCTGCCTGCTATCGTGAACCACTCTTGACTCACTCAAGGGAATCTGTTTTTTTGGGGCCCCAACTCTCTTTCTTTTTGGAACAGGAGAGGTTGACGGCGCACTCCTCCTAACAGCCATTCTTCTTTTAATTCTTTCAATCAGGAAAGGGCAGTCTCTTCTAAAGCTGGAATTGCAGTAGATCTACAAAGAAATGAAACACATTTTAGCCATTTTCAATTAGCTATAGGCCCACAAGGATCTCAGTTTGAGATTTCAGTTGCTACTCTTCGGTTTGCAAGTTGAAAAAAAGCTATCATCTTGCTGTCATTTCATCCTGTGCTATGAGATCAACCCAATTTTATTGAGCAGTGAAAAGCCCTGTATATTTCAGTCAAGTTTCTATGGTACAAAACTTTTATATCATAAAAATGTTCCACTGATAGTAAGTGACTATCCTTTTTAAAATAAACTAAGTAATAAGACATTGTCAGAGCCTTTCCTGTCCCCTGTCCATCAAAAGTCTTACCTGCTCTGAGATACAAAGTTTTCGAGTATATATTTCCTATTTGTTTTCCATTAAATCCTTCACTTGTCATAACAGCAAAATAAAACTAACTATAATTCAAAGAAATTACTTCAGCATAAGAACTAATTTAGTACTTTACCATTACTTTTTTTGTCCCCCAATGAAAGCGAGTTGAAGGCCAATTCATACGAATTTTAGAGAATCCATAAAGATTAAGCTGTCGAATAAAACTTTTCAGGCTGGATGTTTTAAAAATCCTTATTAGCCCTTTCCTATCTAAAACTTCTGTTTGGAAAAACTCTTCTTCAATGACCACACAGTCTCCATCATCATTCCAATTAATAGACTTAAATTGGTTACTTTCTACTATTTTCCAAAGCTTCCTAGGAAAGGAGAGACAGAATAGGTCACCAATTTCTGCCAAACCCAGTAAAGAGCTATTAAGCCCCGGTGCTGGGAGAGTGAGTTCTCTATTCATAGTTGGGAAGGATGTTTCTTCCACAAATGCCCAGAAGTTTTTGACCCTTTCTTGTCAGTTAAAGAAAAGGGAGTAACCCTTTGAATTGACTTCTCAGAATTCTATATACCTCCTGAGGTTTCAATTTTAACTCTGACTTTGCCCTCACTAGAATTATTTGCCATAAAACTAAGCTCTCTTCTCAAACATTTTAACCTGTTACATCCACCAATCTGTCTAGTCTAAAATGACTTCAGCCACAGAACAGGGGTTCATTTAATACCAATGGCAAAAATCTAGAATCCAACACAACCATGGTGATGTTTCTTAGGTGAGTGATGCCATACATTCCCAGCCCCCTGATTGGCGGGAAGTGCAGATGGTGAGTTAATATCACTTTAAAAAAGTATCTCCGCCAAGCCATGGAATATTCTTGTCAATTTAACTTTCTCTCTTTTTAATGAAACCCAATTAAAAGAAACAAATTGGCCATCAATTTGTAGCAGAAAGTAAATGTGGGAGAAAGTAGCTGAAAAATAAAACATTTCCAATTCCATATGGGCTCTGAAAGACAGAATACCAGTAAGAATTGTGTTTCACAGTTTTTAGGAGAATATTTTCTCTGGCCTTTTGCCAAACTCTTCCCCTTCTAACTACTTTATAAATAAAGCAAGTACTTCTAGATAATTGCTTATTAAGTTCATAGGAGTGGAACTTCAAGGAAGAGAATTGGGTGGGGGGGCAATGAGGGAACAGCACTTCGACCAGCCTCCTAGAAAGGAAGGTACTTCGCTGTTGCTCTTTCTTGCCAGATTGGGAAGTTTGGGAGAGGTAAGAGGATCTTCAGGGTCCCTAGGGTAGAAGCAAGTGAGCAGGCTGGCAGTTGTATGTGTATGGAGTGGGGGCAGGGGGCAGTGGTGAGGGGACCATGGTTTGCTGGCTGTCTGGGTGCTAAAGGGTTTGGGTGGAGCCAGTTTGGCTGGGAGCCTGGGTAGTGCTGGTGTGGTGTCTTGCTGTGTAACACGGTATTGCCAAAGGAGATGAACCCCTATTTTCTGTGAAAAAGACCAAGTTGACTGTGTTTCTGAGGAGGGAGGCAGCTGAGTGCTCTGTGTGTCTCTGCCCTCCTCCCCAGACCGTTCCTTTTTCCCCTGATGACCTACTGCTTATCCCTTTTGGAGGTGATGAAGCCATTTGGAAATCCGAGGCAGGCACCCCTAAAACCAAAGGTCCCTGTGCCAACCAACACTGGGGCAGAGATCTCACTAAGCCGAAGGGAGGCAGAGCTCCATAAAAAAGGTACCCTAAGGAGTCCCCTAGAGCTAGAACAGCACCAAGATAGCTTGTAGGTATGTATCATGAAAGACACTAGATTTAGGTTCAAGAAACCTGTGTCCTAAGCATAGCTCTGACACTAGCTAACTAGCTGTGTGGTATCAGGCAAGTCACTTAATCTGAATGGACTTTATTCACTGAACAGTACCCATTAAGGGCCTACTATGTGCAAAGCACCTCAGTTTCTTCATTTATATAACGAAAGGATTGTACTGACTTTCCAACTCTCATCAAAGATGAGCTATGAGCTCCCTTCCAACTCTTACAGAATCAGAGAATGTCAAAGTTAGAAGGGACTTCAGAGTCATTGAGACCATGTGAACACAAATACCATCTACTCTACCCCATCCTCAACAAGTAGTCACCTGGCCTTCAAAGACCTCCAATATCTTATGAATCTATTTTTAAATCACTTTTCACATAAGCAGAGTT